CGTGCCCTGACGCATCCCTTTGTGGCTGGCGCTGCTCCGTCCACTGAGACCTTTCCCAGCTCCGGGACTTGGTGGCAGGTGACACAACCCTGCGTGCAGCGGAGATGAGGGAATTCAGCCCTGTGACAGTGCTGGCTACACCACAGGCTCATGTGGGAGCCCATTTTGGGCTACATTGTTCTCCTCCGGATTCCACCTTGGCAAGGAATGAAACCAAAGCCCAAGGATGGTGGTGGGCACTCCGGGATGGGGAGCTGCAAATCAAGTCAGAGCAATGGGGAAACCCTTCCTCCCTGCCAGACCGAGACCCCATGAGCTTGTAGGACATCGTGCGCGAGTGCCAGACGCCCCTTGGAGCCAACATTCCTGCATGGGACAAACCCTTGCGGGCCTGAGCGTGGCAAGAAGCGGCTCTTTGTCCTGGGGTGGCAAGGCCAGGGCCGGCAGCCGGCACTAGCTCTGGCCGCAGCGAACAAAAAGCCTCCTTTTCTGCAGCCCAAATTCAGCGTCCTGAGGCCTGGCTATGCCCTGAGCGCACCCAGGAAAAATTTATGGCATGGAATTTGCAAACACGGGAGAATTGGAGCGCTCTGCACCCGCTGACCCCGGCGCTTCCCTGCCACTCCTCTATAAAGCCAGCATTGAGCGGCCAGCACACGGCAGCCGGCAGCGAGACAGAGCCCCAAGCTCCATGGGAAACGCGTCCAAACTCCACACCCCACCCCAGGGCTCCCAAAACAGCCCATGAACTTGACTTCCTGCAGAGCAGCTCTGCCAGGTCTCTCCAGCCACCCCCTTTCCCCTCTCTTGTTCCTAATAATTCCAAGCTCCAGCAGCCACATGACAAAGGAGGGAGGCCAGAGGGTATTTGGGCGCGCAGAGGAGCATCCCTGAACATCCCTGCGGAAAGGTCCCAACCTTGCAGATGGGAAACTCCTGCAGCAGAGAGCGTTTCCACCATTTTGCTTTGCAAGGAAAGCTCCTTCTCTTTTTCCTTTAGCTTCCCATGAATTATGCATTCCCAGAAGAGGCGCCACTTGAGCCAGTGCTTGTTTTGCAACACATCAAGCGGAAGAAGCATTTTCAACAGAAATATCATTTTTTTTCTAAACTTAAAAAAAAAAAAAAAAGCCCGTTTGTGATTCACATGCCAAGTTCACATCCCTGGGTAGAGCTGGAACATCCTCATCCAGTGGCCAGGCCCTCCGTGGCAGAATTGCCACCGGCTGTGCCAGGAAAGGCTCCTGGCTGCAGCTCCAGTGCGAAGCCGAAGGCACCTGCGCCCCGTGTTAACCCAGTTAATCAGAATCGAATTAGTGAAACTGCATTAAAGCCCTGTGAGGACACGGTTTGGGGTGGAAAGGCCTTAATGCGATTTCAGCCAGCTTCACAGCCACAATTTGCAAGTCAGGGAAATCGAGTTAGGGCTGTTTGCCTTCTCGGCTGTGTCCACACTGGGCATTAAAGCAGTTTAATTAATGTCCTTTAAGGTTGTGCCTGTCTCGCAGGCGGGTGCCTTCACCTGACTTGCCCTGGGCAAACGAGCCCCGAGCTGGGTCAGCTGGTCTGGGGGGGCAGTAACCCCCTTAGGGTGGGAGAGTCCAAGAGTGGGGCACTGGTGTCCCAGAGTCAAGCTGGGTGTCCCCAGCCCCAGTTTGCTGCCGTGCACCGAGGGATGCAGCACCCATGGGATGCTCCATGGCCCAAATTCCATCTTTCTGGAACTGGAGGAAACACCCACTGATGCTGGGGGGCTTTGGGAACCCTCCTCTTTACTGAGAGCAGCCTCTCCGTGCTGCATTCTTGCTCATGCAGACCCCTTCTCCCTGGGGGGCTGCGGCAACGTGCGGGGACTCAGCAGGATCAGGGCTGCTGGTGCCACCCTCCCTCCTGCAGGTCGTCTTCATCGGCTCCCGTTTTCCAGTCGCTCAGTAGAAACGCCAGCCCCGCTCGAGGAGCTGCAATTAAAAAGAAAGCTAATGGCTTAATGAATCATAACCAAATCTGCTTGCATTAGCACGTGAACCGCTGACCCTCTCTCACTGCAGCCATCAACTCTTTAATTGCAGGCTTTTTTTTTTCCTGCCCAGCAAATTGGCCGTGAGTTAAATGTGCAGGTGAGGAAAGGGGCTCTGGAGAGATGGGGTGGGGGCAAAGCCCCCATCCCTGCATGGGGACACACAAAAGGAGCCAGCAGCACCTTTTCCCCAGCCAAAAGCAAAGCCTCTGGGGTGCTGGGAACTGCACAACGCCCAAACAGGGATCTGCATCCCCATTGCACCTCCCTGTGCCCATCTTACAGCCTCAGCAGGGGCAAGTGGCGTGTGAAAGGATACTTGTTCCCCTCTTCGTTAGCTTAATTGCTCCTTAGCCCCCAGCACATGCTGAGGGGTAGTTTCAGGGTGGGTTTTCCCCGTTGCCTGGGCCGGAGCTTTGCATTTCCGCAGCCGGAAGGGCCCCGGGCGGGTGCTGAAATAGCAGCCCTCGATGGCTGATTTACAGCAGTGAAAGAGCAGCCTCAATGCCGGACCCAGGCACAAAGGAGCTTAAATCCCGCACATGGGGTCCCCAGGGGGTCCCCTGGCCCCAGCGGGGACGCAGCACTGCCCGGACGGGCACCTGTTCCCATGGGAATGCAGGGGGTTCGGGGAGAGGGCTGGGATGTTGTAGTGTTGCTGCACTAGCCTTAATTGCTCATGTATTTAGTGCAATTAGTCCCAGGTGCTTGTTCTTGTCTGCGTGACCCCCAGCGGCTGCGCGATCTCCGCACAATTCCAGGCGGCTGCATCGATCCAGGGCTGGAAAGGCTGCTGAGGCACCTCTGGCTTCTTGGCCGAACTCTGTGCACGTGCGTGTGCACACGTGTGAATGCGTTTGCATGCATGTGCACAGGGCCTTGTGACCCTCTAGCCTCCGTTGCATGAGCCACACTGGCCGCATCATCCCCTTCCTGCCATCGCAGTCTGTCACCCCGGCTCATGGCCTCCCTCACTGCCCACCAAGCTGGGGGACACTGGCAAATGCATCCCCCTCCCATGCAGAGCATCGCGGACACAGGGGCCCTTCCCATGGGCTGGGGCTGCCAAAGCTCCCTGGAAAGCGCCCCTGCCCGCCTTGCTCCCCCTCGGAGGCAGGGATGCCCCCGGCGGCGGG